GTCTTTTCCATCTATGGTCATATAATTTTCAAATCATAATGTTCAAAATCAGTGCAGTACAATTCTCTGGACTCTCTAGATCAATAACTATCGAAAAAAAGTTTAACTTTGCCATTTGGTTCATTATAACAGGATCATTTATAAAAAGGGGCGTGTCAAAACACACTCAAAAGCCTATAAATCATAAATAAAAACTCAGAACTTCACAAAAATTGATGAGCATATGTGTCATAACATCATGAACACGCATGCAAAGTTTTATGGAGATCGGACAATAGGTGGCGCTATAACTGTTGAAAAGCTTTAAAACCATACATTTCCTATGGTAAATTGCCTGTATTGGCTGTAAATGGTCTTTTCCATCTATGATCGTATAATTTTCATATCTTAATGTTTAAAACCAGTGCAGTACAATTATCTGGACTCTCTAGATCAATAATTATCAGAAAAGGTATAATTACTTCATTTGGATGGCTATAATAGAGTGTAAATCGGATGGCTATAACAGCTATAACAGCTTGGATGGCTATAACAGCCAATAAGTGGTATTTTACTGCCCCCTGCTGTCATTTCATCATACTACTCTCTAATATTTTTATATATAATTGATATTTAGACTTTATTAAATCATTATTTTAACATTTACAATCACATTTTGTCAAAATTCATCTATTGCTCTGTACTCTCTAGAACAATAATTATAGGAAAATGTATAACTTCTTCATTTGGATGACTATAATAGGGTCACTTCAATATGTAGCCTTGACCGAAAGCCAATATCTTTTCAATAAATGCTCATAGCTTCTTAAAAAAAGGTCAAGAACAGCTATAACAGCTTGAAAAAGGCTAACAGCCAATAAGTGGTATTTTACTGCCCCCTGCTGTTTAAAAAAAGTCATTTTGTCACACTACTCAACTATAATTAATATTTAAACTTTATAAATTCACTATTTTAACATTTACAATAACATTTAGTCAAAAATCGTCTATTGAAGTGACAATTGAGTCACATTGGCTCCTGAAGTTCCAAATGTCTCTATCTACATCAGAATGAGCGTGTGTAGATTAAATTATATGAAAAACATGTCCTATTGTATAAGTAGGCTGTAATAGCACTGTTGTCCACTAGATGGAGCAGCAGCATTAGACATTTTTAATCTTTTTTTATCAGCTTTCAGCATTGGCTAACAAACAAATGCTTAAAGCATTTTCTTTAATTAGTTTTATATTATTACATTGCAAAGAAATATGTGAAATGCTCATTTACCATTAAAACTGATTTTCACAATAACATATCCCAAAAATGTGTGTGTGTGTGTGTGTGTGTGTGTGTGTGTGTGTATGTGTGTGTGTGTGTGTGTGTGTGTAAGCATGCATTATGGAGTTAACATGAAAAAAATGGTTTGCTTCAGTGGAGAATACTGGAGAAACAAAGTAGTTGAAAATGAAAGTGAGCCAATAAGTGGTCTTCTACTGCCCTCTGCTGGCCACTCTTCTTATTAATAGTCTTTTTTTGTATATAGACACTATAAAATCACTTATATAACAATTACTCTTATAACACATTCATATTTTGTCAGAGTTTATCACTTCAATTGTTCTTATGCTTCATATAATTGCTATCAACGTGGTAAATCATGGTAAATAATGCCAGAAACATGATAAATCATAGTAAAAAAGGTAAATCATGCTAGAATCCTGGTAAATTATTCTAGAATGTGCTATATCATGGTAAATCATCATATAACATGGTATATCAAGGTAAACTATGGAAAATCATGTTAGATTCATGGTAAATCATACTGGAACATGGTAAATCATGAAAAATCACACTGAAATGTAGTATATCATGGTAAATCATGCTTGCTACATAAAACTTAATGTATTTTCATGCTTTTGTGCTTAACGGCCTTAAAGGCCTTAACTGCTTGAACACCGCTAAATGCTGCTAGCAGCTTTAATTATTATTATTATTCATAATTCATAGGCACTTTGACTATATCCATTGCTATAATTCAAAATATATCCTTTCACTCTTCTTCATTCTCTTCACATATAAAACAGACCATGTACAGTTAAGTTGGACCCAAAGAAAATATCAAAAATAAACCCTCCTCCTCGAGTTAAAGTGCTTTTAGTATTGTTAACAAAACATCATTGCGTTTATTCCAGTGACAAAAGATCAACTATAGGGAGAAAAAAAAACTAGATCTTTACCCAAAATAGCTCTATACTGGCACTGTTAGACACAAGATAAAAATCACATAGATGGATTCCAGTCTCTCAATAAGACACGCACAAGTAATTCCCGCTAAATGTTGTACCTTCGCTCTATCATTGACTACAGTACAGTGGTTTAAATATTATGATTTTTTTCAGTCTATGTCATGCAACCCTCCAGTCCATCGTGATCCATACTCCATCTGCAAAAATAGATCGATATCCACGTGTTTATAAAATCAGGGCATGTCCATCAGAGTTTACAGAATAGTTGTTCTTCTCAAAGTGTCTCAAATGTGTGGCATTGCTACTCTTGGCCACAAGGTGGTGAACTAGTCCATCGCCGCGAGCGGCTCCATCGTGCTGTACGACCAGCGCTTCTGTATAAAGCAGCAGATCTATGTTGAACCATCATTTGATTCCACATGGTCTAATAGTTTAGTAGTTTACAGTATTTTATGTCTGCGACTATGTTCGGAAAGGATCACTAGGATACTGTGCCTTCTGTATGTACTGCATGTAAATTGATGTGCATTATGCAGTGATGAGCATTTCAAATAGTAGTTTTGTCAAATGACCTCATCAGATTATGCGTTTAATTCAGCGAGTTATTAGCTGAAAACAATTAACATGCTTTATTTATTTTTATAGGCCTATAACTTCTGGCAGTCTGAAAAATAAGGTTCCTCAACAGGTGCATAGAGTCTGGCTTCACACTATAAAAGCAGCTTTTGGTAAAATGATAAAAAAAATCATGCTGGCGCTACAGCTCTGAAATCATAAGGCATGTTCGACTCGGAGTCAAACACACCTATTATATCAAGTGTACTGCATTGTGGGATATATATTCGAGCGTGCTCTGGTTCTGTTCTGGGTGCGTCTTAAGCCTAGTTCACACTACATGATTTTAAAACGTCGGGCTGAACTGTGCGGTTCACACTACATGACTTGTTCTCTGTGAAATCAGGAGTGTTCAAGTTGTTGAGCTGTTCACACCACACGACACAACGTGATTGATCCGCAACAGGAGGTGACGCACTTCACGAGTTGACAACAACTCTGTCACCCAACGATTCTATCTTGTCTACAAACCACGTTTTGTTTACGAAAAATCACGCGATAAAACGAACCGGAAATGACGCGAAACAGCACACGCGCCAATAACCAGCGAAGAAGACGAAGAAGAACACAACACGCGAACATGCCTTGCTCTGATTGGCTATAGCTCATGACATCACGTGAGCTTGGGTCGTGCGACAGCTCTGGATATCTAGCATGCTAGACATTTTTCTGGGCTCGGCGACGCGTCTGCGACGCGTCTGCGAGCGTCTTTGATGCGTTGTTGGCTCTTTCATACTAACAGATTGGCGAGCGTTCATCACCCGCTAATCCCCCGCGATTTGCACGCGATAACACCATGACCTGTCGGCGAGCTCAACGATTTGCAAATCAGACTTAAAATCATGTAGTGTGAACTAGGCTTTAGCGGGCGTTTACACAACAGTTTTCAACTAAAAACGGAAAACTTTTTATGCGTTTCGGGCGTTAATTTACGGGGGTTTTGGGGGCCTGAAAACGCTTTGAAAACGTGATTCAAACAGCACGTTTTCAAAAATGATACAATTATCATTTCTATGTAAACTACGAAAATGCGAATTTGTGAAACCGGTGACATCATGCACATGTGACGTCTATAAAAGTGCAGTGTTTCTTTATAAAGTGACATCGCCATCTACTGGCCTGGCCGCAGAATACAGCGTCTTTATTATTCGTTTTCTCTGATCTGTGTGAACGGGGACCGTTTTGACAACGTTGTCGTCTATACGTGAAAAACGCGAAGGAAAAACGTTTCTGTTTTCAGTGCATCGTTGTCATGTAAAGTAAACAACACATCCTCAATCAGTTACCTATAGCTCCCGAGCTTGAGAATCAGTATAGGACCCTGGTTAACTTACACACTGAGACAGTAGCTGTGTACGACATCACCACCTATACCCATATTTCACTATTCCCTCCATTACTCCACTAATACAGTCCCCTTGACGGAGTGAATTAAAACGAGTGAGTGCATTCGGACACTGAGTGGCGGAAGGGCTGGATGGTTAATCATTTAACACTTAGCAAACTGGCAGCTCCAGCAGTAATGAAAAGATTTATCTTAAATTATGCCATGGAAACTATGTATAAACCTTAATTAAACTATTTAATAATCAATTAAAAGGGAATTTATACCTGTATGATATTACGCTGGACCAAATGGAAAGTGGATGGATGTATGATTCAGCGGCGGCGCCATCTTCTGGTCACATGTGGCAATTGATTTGACGCACGAATCTCACAGTGCCATTATTGGTATTCTCTAGCCGTTGAGCGTACATCAGTTGTAAACTTGTTATTGCGGTGCATTATGGGATTGAATGAGTGCACTCGATAACGTCCACTATAGTTTCAGACACCACTACAAATGGCCGCTCCCTCAAACCTAAAAAAAGCAAACATGAGGTACAAGCACATTTGCTGAATCATCAGAAAAGCCACACATATGGAGCTGATTAAGCGATGCAAACATCTAAATGTATTCGTTTACAAATCAAGTACTATGGTAAAGATGTTTTTAGGTCGTTACATAGTACCGTGCAAGGAACCGCGTAAAAATAAGTCTTTATAAACGGATAATCTGCCCCTGTAATTGTAATTTACCTGAAAAGGAATCAAATTTGTGTTCTGTTCATAGAGAAAGCGGTCATGCTGTGCACAGTTTTCTGCAGAAACAGCAAGAGTAGTATGCTAGTGTGCTCTTCCGAACATAGCCGCTCTCTTTCTCTTCTCTATTTCATGCTTGCATGCCAGTGTATTTCAGCGCTAGCCAACTCTGCTGGCACGCTACCTAGTAAAACAGGTAAGCTCAGTGGCATCGAAAAAAAAAAAAAAAGTTGGCTAACGCTGAATCAAACGAGTACTCAAGCAGTTTATCTCCATCAGATCCCTTTCTCAGTCATTCATCCAAGCTGTTTCTCTCTCTCTCTCTAGACGTTACTAATGCGGACGCTATGCTGGTCCCGGACACGCCCCCTTTCCCGCCCCCTTTCCTCCCGGTAGCTCTCCTCCAATCGCATCTTCTCCGTGTCTTGGCCTCCGCTGCCGCTGCCTTGATGTGGCGGAGACTGTGTGCTGGGAGGCGGGGTTTGTTTAAAAACGGGCGGGGTCTTGGTCTTGGCAACCTTGTCAAAAAAGGCAAAATCTGCTACATACTTTCCGGATGGGGAGAGGGAGACGACGGGGGGAAACTCGTAGCCCCACAGGATCTCGTCGGGCAGGTAAGAGGTGCGCACCTGACACGTGGCCGAGGTCGGCTCTACGGTAGCGCTCATGATCACGAGCAACTCGAAGTCAGCCATCTCCGGATCGGTCCACCCACCACCTTAGAAGGAAAGATACGTAGAGAATCAGACGTACAGTAGCGTACAGTTTACTTCATCCCATGCTGTTATAAACCTGTATGAATTTCTTTTGAGGATGGCGACTGAAAACGTCCCTCTGTGGTGAAGCTCTCATATCATAAGCATATCATGAATAGTAGTTGTTAGGGAGCTTGACATCTCATGTTTCATTACATACATATTCATTAAATGCATATTCTTAAAAGACGGGTTTAGAACAACATTGGGGTGGGTAAAGGATGACAACATTTTTATTTCTGGGTGAATGATTCCTTTAAAACTAAGAAAGCCTCTCACAATTGTTTCAAAAGATGTGCATAAATCCCTTTACAATAAAATCTGACACCATGCACACACTTTGCATCAAAACAGACAGCAGCAAGACATGTAGATAGTTTAACACAATTCAGAAAAATGTGTGAAAAAAATGGTGTGCTTATGGCTCATACCAGCAGAAATACAAATGCCTTCAATCGTAAACATGCCATTCACCCACTGACACACACACACACACACACACACACACACACACACCTGCATCAACATCCCACATTCAGAGCAAGAGACTGTCATCTGTGAAAACAGTCTCTCCTTTAACCCAGAGCCAGTTCTGCATTCTGGGAGCAAAAAACATGGGGTTTCATAATCCACAAACACACAAGATCACTTCATCATGCTCACAAACATTTGGCAAAGTGTGTTTCTGGGATGCATATCATTCACACACACATCTATCCAATGCATAGACGTATTTGAACACTTAGGTCACAATTATACATGTCATTGCATCAGATATTGCGTTATAAATATTGAGCAAGTATCATTATTCTACAGAAAAACATTTCAGAGATTGTAAGATCTGTATTGTTTTAGTGTTAATGCTACAACAACAGATGGCAAATGGTGTGATATTTTCTAATGCAATGGCATTCAGACGGTTCAAAACGGTTTAAGGCCAGTATGCATAGACAGAAGCATTATAAAGTGTCTTTATTAAAAGTGTCTTTGAAAAAAAAATCTATGATAAAATACCAAAAATCACTTCTACTAATGTAGAATAGTAAAATCTTATTTTATTTTAGATTCTCTCTTAAATCTTAGTTAGTAATTTTCTTTGTTATGAATGAATGAAACATGTAAAATAACAAAATCTTTAGTTATATTATCCATTTCCAGTAAACCAGTATCACAATTCATAAACAAGAGACCATTATATCAGTTATAGTGATGCTCTCAGGGGACGTCAGTGTGTTTTCTACAGATCTGATGTGTCTTTAATGCGTTTGAGGAAAAGAGACACTTATATATGGGTCATTCCTTGCACATGTCCCCATCAAATATGCTGAATAAAGGAAGAAAAAATCTTACTCTTACTTTTCTTCTATTATCATAAATAAGTAAACATAGTAAATGACTATTGCACTAAAATGCACTAATTTGACATGAAAAGCTGTATTTATTAAGATATATTTCAGTATATCAATATTTTCACTGCATGGACAGTTAGTAGGAGGAACATTTTTCTAAACATCTCCTTTTGCATTGCACAGAGGAAAGAAAGTGACACAGGTTTGGAACGACATGAGCGGGAGTGAATGATGAAATGATATGTTTGAATATTTCTTTATCAATTTCAGTAGGACAGCTCAACACACACTGCTCTCGTTTGAGCTAGGGCTGCACGATATTGGAAAAAATGCTATTGCGATATTGAGTTTTTCTGCAATATATATTGCGATATGGAAAAAATACAGGAATTGTCAACAGATGACTTGAATAGATCCTCAATAATTAATTGTAATGTATTAGTTAATTGTAGAATGACTGGGGTGATTTTGTTGGGGTCTGAATCTGTACTGAAAAAAAATGTTAATTAAAATCATTTGGAAAATGACTGAGTGCAGACCATACTTTTAAGGTTGAACTAGTTGGGAATAACCTGGAAAAGTGGGAAAGTTGAGATCTGCTGATCTCTACAAGAGCCAACTCAAACCTCTTTCAGTGACCATAAAGTGAAAAGATTTCACTTTCCACTGATTTTTCCCACATTCCCAATGGTTTTGACACATTCAATAGGCTATAACTAATATTAATTTGATTTTTTTTTTTTAAGCAAAATAAGAAATTGTACTATTGTACTATAAAGTAAAAAACAGTCACACTAATAAGTAATTTTATTGCATAGTACAATATAGTACAATGTATAGTACTAATATTTCATACTATAGACGATGCTTAATCCTAATCCCAGACTAAAAGGCATGTTTGAGCTTCTTTAACTGAAACCAACGTGCACTGAAATCAGTGCCATTGTTTTTTTTTTATTAGCTTTTTCAAGATTCACACCAGTAATGTTTTTTTCTAAGGCACATAAAAAAAAAAAAAAAAAAGTTATGTCCTAATTTAACTAAGGCCTAATCCTGGCGTAATCTAAACCCACACTTGTATTTTGTAAATTACATCCAAAGTCATTTGACTATTGCATTAAAGCAGTAGTAAATTTACTCGCCATCATGACGTTCCACACCTATAAGATTTTGGTTAATATTCAAAACACATTCAGATATTTCACCATTTCACCATTGTAAGCAAAACTTAGAAGATCACTTTATATGATGAACACATCTAATTTAAGCTTTTATTTACATCTAAACAATGATGGACACATACTCAAACGTGTGCGTGACGCGCGAGAACCAATAAGGTTTGTTCTAGCGTGTGATGAACACACAAGCGCAAGTCTTTATATGTGAATAAAATCAATACAATAAATCTGTTCATATATCTCTGTACAAGACTCGGATTAAACAGATTCATTAAGCTCGATTCGACACCTTTATGACTTTTTTGGATCTTCTAAATTTTGTTTACCTGAACTATCAATGAAGAGACAGAAACCTTTCAGGTTTTATTAAAACATATATCTTAACTTGTGTTTCAAAGATGAACCAAAATCGTATGGGTTTGTAATGACATAAGGGTGAGTAAATGATGCCAGGATTACATTTTTTGGGTGAGGTTAGGTCATTTTTCCAGCTATTATTTCTATTTGTGCATCTCTAATGTGATACTACAAGTAAACACACAATCTTAGCATACACCTCAGCAGGGACTCCAGCATGTTGATGAGTGATTGTCCTGTTCAGTGGTTCATATGGCTTTAAGCTCCAGCACGCAGAGGCCCGTGTCTCTCCTCCTCAGCCTCTTACACAAACACAATGCCACATTCAGCCGACGGACACACTGTGCATTTAGGGGTTTTTTTTAACTATAGATTCACACACACACACATCCACACACGTACGTTTACACACAGCCACTCATGCATTTACAGATTTAGACTGTAACACAGCGACACGCTTTCGCACACGTTTTTAAAACCAGTGCCAGTTCTTCTTTGAGATCCATTCATGTGCAAATGCACTTCCATGGGAGCATTGTGAATAGCTATTTCTACTTCATATTAATGTTATGGTCGACATACTGTACAAAAACAGAGTCATTTCTAGTTTGACAAGTCATCAAGAGTTTCATTTGGATTAGGTAGCATTAGGCAAAAGTGGGGTCTATTAAGTATAACCCTATACCGTATAATCCGACTACAGTCAATTACACTTGGGCGATCTGGCTAGACTGCAGACCCGATGAGAAACAAGCATTGAGAAAGACACTATAAACAAATACACAAGGAGATGCACGTACAGGAAAACCCATAGATGTGCGAGAGGAGAGTCGTATTCAGTGCAAACACGGGGACCGGAGGGTCTGATAGCTTGGGCCCTCGATGGGGTAAAGACTGGGACCGTAACTGGATCCACGACCTGCGTGTCAGCACCAGGAACTGGGCTGCTTTGTGCTTCTAATGAGACGCTCTGGCACGCTCTCATACACGCATTCCAGCCAAAGAGAGAGAATGTATAAAAGAAAGAGGGATGGGGGGCTGATAAAGCTACGTTTGCTGGGGAGGGGGGGGTAAAAGAGGGAAAATGAGATGGAGGGAGGAAGAAGAGACATGAGAAATGCAGCTCATCTGCCAATAATAGAAACCCCAAGTTCCTGTAAACATGCCCCCCTCACCGAAGTCATTATTACATTTTCTACAACTCACGCTAAAACTTGGTGTTTGCTGCAGAGAGAACGTGAAATCTGCTTCTGTCTTTTAACCTCCAATAATTCAATTAAAAGTTTTGCAGTGTTTCCCACAAAGGATTTCTATAATTCCCAAACTCCAAAAACCCAGTCTTCCTGTTTGACCAGCTGACAAATGCCCCAAAATACATTAAAAACCATCAAAACAGACCAATAGGCAGCTGGGCCAGGCTGCTATAAGCTGTTACTTTCCTGCATGGTCCTGATTTTTACCCTCAAACCTGCAAAGACTAATTTAGCGTTCACTTAGTCAATGGCTAGAATAACTTCAAACATCTTGTTTTATAATGCAGGGAGATCTGTTGGTCACCAAAACACCTGAGACATTTGCTCTCATTATCACTGGTTTTGATTTTGAAGGTGCCTCAATACATAATTACAGATGCATCAAAAAACAAACTGTTTCTTGGCTGATCACTTCTGATGCTGGTTGTTTCTGATTGCCAAAGTGCTATTGCTATTGCTTAAACTTACGCCGGGTGCCCACTGTGCCATTTTGGCCACGATTTGGCCGTCTGAAACAAGTTTTGGAAATCCTAAAAGATTCCTCTGATCCTAGGCTAAAATCTGAAGATTTTGATCGTTAGTTTGACATGTTCACCGACAGCCGATTAATGACCGTTGCGATCAAATTCTGCCAGAGTCAGAAGTGTGTCAGTGTGACTTCTCGTACGACGACCATCAAATTGTCTTAGTTTTTCAAGACAAGGCATGACCCAAATTAACGTTAGAGTTGTCTTTGTAGCCACCTATTTAATCCCGTGTGTAACGCGCAGCTCACGGTGAATGAAAGCGCCATTGATTGATGATGTGTGTCCGTTTTTAACGCGTC